GTCATGTTATTAGTCAATATTCTTTGCATTATTTAATTAAATAAAAATTAAGTGCATTACTATCATTAATTTAAAAAAATTAGGGTTAACTGTCTTTGACAATTGACAGCAAGAAAAAAGAAGATTGGTTAAGTATTTTATTTCTTGTTTTTCATGTTTATTTATGTATAATTATAAAAATAACTGAAATGTAAAAATAGAGATCCTTTTAGGTTCGTTAAGATTAGATTAGGTAAAATAAATAATTATGTTATCATAAAAATGTTTCACGAGGCACACGCGAGCAGTTCGTGGGTAATGTAATTCACTAGCGTAATGTGGGCTGCACATTCCCCAAGTGATTTACAACTTATAATGGTGCGGATAGTAGTTAGACATAGTTCAAAGGGCAATAAAATTTAATTATGAATAGATGTATACTGTTACAAACTTAGAGCTATTTAGGATAAACAAATGTAGTTTCATGTTACAATTTGAAGTCATTCTGGAAAGACGAAAATGGTAATTTAGGTCTATCTCTCTCTCTTTTTTGTTGGTTACAAGGTGGGTCGAAATGACTGGTTTCGTTTTGAGATAGGGTAGAGAAAATTAGAAACTATAAAGTTTTAGTGAAAAAACGTTTGAAATGCATTTGGGAGGTTATAGGGATTAGATAAAGGAAATTTGAGATGAGGAAAAGTATATTTAATTTTAAAATGAAAATTACTTTGTACATGAACTATTTAAAACAAATACTCAATGTATTCATGGACAAATCTTTATTTCATTTTATCAAAGATACTTCACTAAATAATTCGATTTTTTATGTGTGAAAGACTGCCAAATTTTGTAAAGATATACACATGTTGAAAGTTAGAAGTATTAACTCAGTAAAGACTAAATGAATACAAAGAGGTCACATGGTCGGTCACATTGACCGAGCCCGTGTTGAGAGCTACCTTTCTATATCACATTCAAAATTTTATTGAACTACTATTTCATGAATTTATGTCAATAAGTTCGGTATCAAACTGAAGATTATAATTCAAATTTTAGAACTATACATTACTTAATTTGTTAATTTAAAAGTAAATATTAAAAAAACATGCATAAACATCAAATGTGGTATGTTGAATGCAGCACTGGTTCAAATTAGATGTTTGTGAAGTCAAAATACTAAGTCTATAGTTTCATACGAATTAAAAACTCAAATTACAGATACTGTCAAGCTAGAATACAAAATAAGAATGTCTTATCTTTCTATTAGCTAAAGCATTGCTCACGTAACAAATCAAACACAGTGGCACCCCGATCACCTCCTTCAATTTTTGGAAATGCTCCCTTATATACACTTACTTCTGTATATGATATGAATAACTAATCAGAAGCTCAGAATGTCCCTCTAGTGGTTTTCTCAGCCTTTCTAACGTACCTAGCACCATTTTTTTTTCTTTTAAACCAAGATTTCAATGAGGTAGGTTGTGTCTTTAGTCTGCTTGAAATTTCATATTTTTTTAGACCAAAATACAGCTTAGTTACTAAGTTTGATAAATTATAGTAGAATTCTATGGTATTGATGTACTAATTTATGATTTTTTTTAATTATTCAAAAGTATATATATAAAACCTAAAAAAATAATTTGTTTCATTTCCTCCATGTACAAAATTTTTGAAGACTTAGCAACCTACATCAAGCAGCAACCGAGTACAAAGGTCCTAACTAGAAGAGATAATTCTTTGCTTTACTTCTTTATTCACTGTTCAATGTTTTAGAAAAAATAACTTTATTACTATTTTGAAATAAGTTCTTAATCTTTATACATAATTAATGTATAATAATTGAAATGTGACTATTTTACAAAATACTAGTTTACTAAAACCCAGCCAAGACAGCTCACTTTGTAAAGACTAATGGTCAGTTTTATATTATTGGATACGCTAACACGAGAGCACGTATGCCTCGTCATTGTAACTTCTATATTGTTAGCCTGGCATAACTGAAAGGTCAATATGATAAATGTATAGTGTTATGAGATTTAAGCTATTTAGTCTAAACATTAATGTTTTCATGTTATAATCTGTTGTCATTCTAGAATGAAAGAGGCATAACTTATATTTAGTTCCTAATTTTCTATGGTGGTTACAAGATTGGTCAAATCTACCAAACCCATACAGAGATTAATTACTGAAACTAACAGATAAAATATAAAGTTTTTTCTAAAGAAACGTTTGATAACTATTTGGAAATTACAAAGATTTCACATGTGAAATTGAAAATTTTCTGATGCATAAAAGTATTTTTAATGTTAAGATGAAAATTACTTTGCTTGATAGATAGGGAAGATGTGAAAAGAAAAAAAAAAGCATTAGAGAAACTGCTTTACAAACCTTAAAAAATTATATATTTTGTGTATGAAAGCATTGTAATGTTTACTGATAAACTGCCAAATTTCCTTAACATTTGCTTACTAATTTAAAAGTTGTAGCATGAAAACTATAAGAAGCACTGAGTTGAAAGAGTTAATATAAAAAAGTAAGCTTAGGTTTTATCTAAAGTCAACAGCAAAAAAAAAAGAACAGGGTAAGAACTGTATTCTTTTTATTATTATAAAAGTATCTAAAATTTAAAAATTATAAACTTTAGATTAGGTAAGATAAATAATAACTTCTTCATGAGGTATGCTCCTGAATATGTTGTACATTATATAATTTGATAGGGTAATGTGAGCTCCATGTTTGTCTAGTGATTTACAACTTGTGTGGCAGGATTATTAGTTACACACA